AACCAGGCGAACTTGTAAGAAGCATAGAGACAGGAACACTCCGACAGGTTGATGTACACCCACCTTTCCGTACACTTGTGAAACACAAGGCTTTCAGAACTGAGTGGGTCACTATAATAACCTGCCGGATCCGCAGTTTGTTCTCACATTCTTTGCTGAAGACATATCAGACTGTGTGTATTCGCTCATGTATGCTGCATGATTATTTTCTTGTGAACTTTTGTCTCAAGAAAATTTGTGTCTGCGACTGCATTTTTGGTTCAAGCGCACTACTACGGACGAAGACAAGCTTGGGCATATATAGTCTCTGTGACCAACATGGGCCGCAAGACTCCAGCAGCCGCTTCCGAGACGCCAGCCGCCAAGTCGCGGCCCCGATCACCGAGCCAGCCACCTCCTGCGCGACCGGCATTACGGTCCAGACGCAGCGCGAATCAAACGCGTCGGGGTGAGTCGCCGCCGGTGCCATCGGGAGACTCCACTTTTGCTCACGCCGCTCGACGTTATGTCGATGTGGCACGTATCAGTATCTCACCTGATACTCATAGGGACACTGACCGATATTCCGGTCGTGGCCAACCGAAAGGCACAGGCCGAGGAAAACGATCTCCTTCTCGCGAAATGCCATCAATAGAGACCGTTCGTCGCGAGGGAGTTCGTCAGGAGCCTTATGAGTTTCAAGGCTTTCGCTTGCACACGGTGAAGCACGTTGTTGTGACGCAGATGGATGATTTGCAGCAAGAAGCCGCAGCCCGCGGCTCTTCATCCCGTTGCTCTCCCAGCAAGCAAGCCGAACGCCGACATTCCGGCGGAAAAGGCAAGAGAGACGAATCACGCAACGCCGAAGGCCGACATTCCGGCCTAGGGTAAAGGCAAAGGAAAAGGCCGTGACGCAGGACCTTGCCCCAGCGGAATGGACTCAGCATTTGATCGTCCCGACTTCGGAGTCGGCTCTTGTTTTGTTTACTGTTTGCGGATGATCTGGCCCGGTTTCTTCAAGATCAGCAATGAAGCTCTAAACCGTATCTTCGAGAGTGAATTGTACGACAAGATTTCGCGTGAGCTCAGCTTTATTCTCCGACATTCCGGATGGACACATGCTGACAAGTCACTCACGGTTTTTGAGCTAATGGCTGGGGCACGGTTCAGGAAGATGCTAAGCCTCTGGACTCATACCTGCTCAGCTCCAGAAATGGTGCGAACATTCTGTTGAGCGCGTGAACATGCTGCTCCCGCTAGCCTTTACCATTATGTTTAATCAGAAAGGCAGGTACCAGATCGGCATCTTGAGCACTTCCGATTACAACAAGGGCGAGAAACTTATTGGAAGCCCTGAGGCCTGGATCCATCCAGCCAGTATGACGGCCGAGGACCGCAAAGAACTTGCCGATTTGTATAAGCAATTCAAGGCCGCGCATGTTTTTGTCCAAGCTGTTTCCAGCCACCTGGAGGCGGCAATATCGCCGGCAATAAGCAATGCAACATGAATCACTTTTTGCCGATCAATGGCCTTCTCCTTTCACATGAGCATATTCGGCCAACTGCGAAAGTCGTACTCGTGCTTTCGATGGCAACGCTGGAACAGCATCCAGAGCTTATGGAACGATTCTGCCTGAGCAAGAACGGATACTATTTGACCAAGGACGTTATTCCGTCCGGTCTATTCAGCCTCGCGTGGGATGTTCGGAACAACTGCTGTGTGTCTACCAAGTTATGGGACGTTCCGACATCCACGCCCGCAATGTCGGTGCCTGATGAGGTGTACCTTCGTTTCTATTCCCAGCTCTACTGCGAGGTACTCCGACTTGTGGGCAAGGGCCACGATAAGTTTAAGGCCGAGACGCGAAAGCTGGCGTTTAAGAACGTTAAGAACCGCGAGGTCGAAGCTTGGCGAGATGAAGCCGTTGAAAAACTCGAAAGCCACCAGCTTCATGGCCAGACTAAGCTTTTCGCCGAAACATGGCTCAACTTCCTCAGCGTCGATGATGAGTGGAAGGACTCGGAGACCAACCTACGCCGTCTTAAGAAGAGGTCCTTGTCCGAGACCACAGAGGAAGAAGGCGAAGACCTGATCAACCCAGATGATGAAGATGATGAGATGGACGTCGACGCCGATATTCCGGCGGAAGACGACGACGATATTCAGGTCATAAACGCCTTAGATGAGACCATGATGGACGATCTCGCGGAAGCCAGGCAGAAAGGAACTTGGGTCAAGAAAGGCACTGTAAAGAAGGAAGAATCCGATATTCCGGATCAATCCTCAGCAGCTGCCTCGTCGTCCTCAGCAGTCAAAAAGGAGACGGAACAGAGCACAAGGACGTGGTCCTCCCGAGCACGGTCACGAACACCATGTCGAGCTGTCCTTAAGAAGGCTGACCGCGCACCGGGAACCACCCGCTCGCCATCCGAGGGTCGCAGAGTCTCGTTTTCCGATATTCCGGAAACGAAGTATTTTTGATCCACGGCCAAAGAAGCGCGCGACCTCGCGAGCGCGGGAAAGTCATCCGCGATGCAAAGCAAGCTCAGAAGTCCACCACTAAGTATTTTCATCGCCCTCAAGCTATAGTTAAAAACAAGGAACCATAACTGGCAGCGCTGGCTACAAACAAGATTGTAATTCCAAAGCAAAAGCTAGTATATATTCCGATTCAAAAAAATTCAAAAAAAGAACCATGCCTGGCAGCGCTGGCTACCAAAAAGTTATGATTCCAAAAAAAGTTATAGTTCCAAAAAAAGAACCATAACTCGCTGCACTGGCTACCAAAAAGTTATGATTCCAAAAAATAAGTTATAGTTCCAAAAAAAGAACCATAACTCGCTGCACTGGCTACCAAAAAGTTATGGTTCCAAAAAAAGTTATAGTTCCAAAAAAAGGAACCATAACTTATGATTCTTTTTTCAAAAAACATAGCCAAAAACTATCAAAAACCTTTCAAAATCAAAGGTGTTTGCTAGTTTGGGGCTCTGTAAATCTAGGTTTTTCACTAAAACACATAGCTCAAAACTAGCAAACACAATTGATTTTGAAGGCTTTTTGTTAGATTTAGGCTATGCATCTGTTTGGAAAAAATCATAAGTTATGATTCTTTTTTTGGAACTATAACTTTTTTGGGAATCATAACTTTTTTGTTTGGAATATTTTGGAATCATAACTTTTTGGTAGCCAGTGCAGCCAGTTATGAGTCTTTTTTTTGGAACTATAACTTTTTTGGGAATCATAACTTTTTGGTAGCCAGTGCTGCCAGTTATGGCTCTTTTTTTGGAACTATAACACTGTTTTGGAATCAAAACTTTTAGGTGGGCTGTGTCACCAGTTATGATTCTTTTTGGGGAAACTATAGCACGTTTAAGAATCATAACTTTTGGGTGGGCACTGTCCGCAGTTATGATTCCTTTGTGTGGAAAGCAAGGGCGATTGACAGAATCTTGACTAGACATAAATCTGTGGATGTTCGCCAGATTCACACACTTGATGTTTGGATAGTGGTTGGCTCGGCGCGGTTGGCATCCCTTTGTATATTGAACCTGGTGGCAGCATGACATGTGCGCTCACACACATAATGTGTGTGTTTGTTCGTGTGTCTTTGTGGTTATCTTAAAACTTAAACCTGTCGCATACATTCTTAATTTTGGCCTACTTGTCAAACTGAGATTGGCCGTTAATAAAGTGGAGCCATATGGAAGCTCTGGAAGCACCATGCACCCTGCGACATAAGACCAAGACACGAGGATTGCACTGAAGCAGGAATTGGGATTGATTATGGTTTTTGTTTTAAGTTCAACCATCTTAAAAGTTATGATTCTTTTTTGAACTGAACCGCCTTGACTTGCGAAATTTGACATCAACGAACTCCTTAAACATCTAAACCATCTTGATTTGTGTCTGAAGAGCAGTGACCAGGGATACCACCATCCATTCCAATGCAATTTTTCACTCTCCAGCCGACACAAGATCAGAGTTCGTAGCCATCAATCTGCCATCCATCGTGCCGACAAAAATACAGATCGGATTGAACGCCTGAAGGAACAATCCCGACAGAATCGACAAGATCGACAAGCAGGCTGGTCCAGTTCTTCCTGGTACCAACAGGACCAATGGTCCTCGGCCGCTTCTAGCTCATGGTGGCAGTCCAGTTCATCTTGGAACGCCGGCTCTTCTTGGAATACCTGGTGCCGAGGATACCGGAACTGGTAGGTAGTCTCTAAACAGCCGATATTCCGGCTAGTGAGCTCAAGGTGAACTGCAATAGAGCTAAATAAATGCATGAACGAAATGACCCAGAATTAGAGAAATAAAGGCCTTACAGAATTTGACTTTAGATCAAACGACTTGAAATTGACTTGAGAAAATTTCCAATATTCCGGAACTTTCGATGCAACAAAATGCCTTTCGTAGATTTGTATAGTGTATCTGACGCAACCTAGATGAGCCAGAATGGCATCTACGGTCTGGTTCTCCGATGCCAGAACTTTTGTAATTCATTTGCATTCTTTTGCGCTTGCAAGCTTTTGTACTTTAACGATCGTAAGCTTCGACACGAAGAAAATTTGTGTCTGTTTTGTGTTTGTAGTGCCCTAGGTCCCCTAGGCGTGTCTACGCTATACGTGTGTAGCACCTGTTCTTTGTATATAGACTTGTATGTAGCTCTTCAGTCCGATATCGACCTAATTCATTTGGCTCAAGACTATTGAAGCCCAATACCTGCAACCGCAGCCATAGAAAAGGTGTGCATCGCTGCCGCTCGCACACCGTCGATCTCCGTGGCCTCACTTGGTGTATTCGATCAGGTCCAGTAAAGCTACTGCCACTTCTGGGGGAACCTACCCCTCACCCCCCCCCACCCCACCCGAACAATTTACAGTCTGAGATGTCAAAACGGTCGAAAACGAAAAGAAATAGCAACAAAAACACACGGCCTACCGGGGGTCGTGCTCCATCCTTCTATTCTGTGACAGTTTGTATGGCAAGGTGCGAGCTGGCATTGCCGCCAAGTCGCCACGTACAAAGCGGCAAGGAGAAGCAGCACAGGAGATAAGCCCATCCCTAACGCCAGGCCAACCTGGGGCGTGGCTCTCACATGCGCGCTCGCTGCGTTGAACCATCTGGCCATGCCACGACGCCCGCCAGTATGAACTCTGCCAAGGAGATCAAAATCCTGAGCTTCAATGAGTCTCGCATCCATCCGTTAGCTGCTACCCGCCCCCTCATCGGTAAACTGGCTCCAAGTTCCCCAGCTCAAGTCGAGTCGCAAAATGCCACAGCAAGAGCATAGGCAGAGCTGACAACGAGAACGTGGCCTAGGCCTACACCGCTCCTGCCGCACGATGACGACGCCGTACCCAAAAACGGAAACACCCACGGCGTGGATGATGATAACACAAACGATGGGGGCCTCTGCCTCAAGCTCCTCCGGCTTCGTTGCCATGGCGACTCTGGAGCCGATCTCACGATCGGTCGCTGGGGCCTGTCTTTCGTGATCCCAGTTGGTGCGCGCTGGAGTGCCAAGTGGCCTGAGCAGCTTGGGGCTTGCTGGGATGACCAGCTTGAGAAAGAGTTGGGTTCCTGTGCCTATGTCCGGAATGTCCCAACGTCCACCGGACCACGATAGACAAGCAATCGTGAAAGAAGGAAGTGAGCTATGTAATTCAGAAATTGAGCTGGACAGCTGCTCATTCATGCAATTTCATCGTCCTGTCTGACGTTCAAGCTTCAGATTTGGGTGGTAGAAATTCTTAAGGCACGTAATGATCACGATGACACGATGGGAACAGCTCTGAAAGCAACTCAGTCTTGCTAATGAATCGTGGTGGCAAAGCCCAGCGACATTTTGGGGGTCTCTTCTGAGTCTTTGCCCAAATCAGGTCGATGCCTCGCTTGCACAAACTGGTTTCCAGTTCATGGCGAGAAAACAGCTCAACGATGAATGACTTGTCAACGAGACAGACAAGGGCATGGCTCAACCATCCTTGTCAATGAAACCGCCATGGCGATGAGAATGGGTTTGGCAGGCCAAGGCTGCTACAGTTGGCTCAACAGTTTAAAAGGGTCTGCAAATTTCAAGATTGCATCCTGCGTGAACACCCAGCTCGTGTAATTTCACAAGCCGGCAGAGTGACCAGTGAAGAGTCATGAGAGTGACTCTTTCCGCTTGGCAGGGCTCTCAAACCCATTCACTTTTCGTAAGTTCACACTAGATCACTGTATAGATGATGCAAAACCAACGGATGGGTAAGCATTGGGTCCATCGAAACAAAAAGAAAAAACATTGGGATTTGCACCATCTACTCTGGATTTACTGTGCTCTTGCTGGACCAGCAGCCAAAAATGCCGAAGCAAGACCTTGGAGTTCACAAAAGTGCGACTCTGATACATTCACTTGTTGATTAGACTGCGCCAATTCTTTACCCTTGCAACACCCTTCAATAAAGAACATGATTTGCCACTTGCAGCCTTTGGTGCCTACGCACCAGCTCAAACACACCAAGACTCACGACAGATGTCACGCAAAAACAACCTCTTGATCAAGTCAAAAGTCGCTTGAGCGGGTCTGAGCGCCATTCCTCTTTTTCTTGCCGGGCTTTGTTGTTTCTTCCTTCTTTTTCCCGTTTGACCTTGGCACGGTCATGACTGTCCGGTGTTGAATTTGCTCCAGGCAGCTGACTGGACTTCAGTCACTCAGTCCTTCACTGCTCTGGCGAATCTTCAGGTGCAGCCCACGCGACTCTTCTTGACTCCGGTGAACCCTGCAACCCAGGTTTCTGCAGATTGGATGAACGAGGAGAATTGATGCTGACCTTTTTCCTTTCTTTTTGGGCTTTGGACCTTTCGACCGTTTCCATCCCTTTCTGTTTTCCTACTAGGAGCAAGGACGCTACTAGGGGCTCTTGGCCTTACTACTAGGAGCAAGGACGCTACTAGGGGCTCCTGGCCGTACTACTCACACTGCTTGCGCATAGTCTGAGGCGCTTCCCAGGACCCTTCGCCGTTGTGGCGGGTATCCGGGAGTACGATCAATATCCTGTTGTAAGATAATGACGAATGAGTGAGAAAAAGCTACCAAAAATGATGTCTAGCTATGTGAAACCGAATATCCGCGCAGCACACAGGCATCAAGGGTGGTAAATTCTCTAATTAGGGACGGTCGGAATGGGAACCGAATCTAGTTTGCCATGTTTATTCCAAGTTTTTCGAAGGTTGCGGGGATAGAGAAAAGCTTGGTCAAATGCCAAAGGAATCGCATCAACAGCGACCAACGATGGGGTGACGTGCCGCATGGGCACAAGGCCATCCGGGTGATAAGGGGGTTTGCAATGCAAATCTGCCGCATACTGGATCAGCGTTTCTGAACGGCTTTGGAATTAGGCATTTCGGGACGAAGTGCAAATCCTCCTGTGTATGAGCGGCCCCATCCTACCCTGGTCAGGCTAAGAGAGCCCTTTTTAGAATATTGAGGCACGAGGGGCGTAGTTGTGTACCCCTGAAGGTATAAGACGATGGTGCGAAATGCTTCAGCTTGTTCGCGGAGTGACCGTCGATGGATGGGTAGTGCGAGCGCCCGTGGGTCTTGCCAGTGGACAGGTTGCGCACGTCGATCCTCTGCGAGACGAATCCAAGTGGGGAACTGTACCCCAGTGTTAATGATGAATGCCAACGCTAATTCGTGCCAGGTGATGCCGTCCAAAATGAGAGGGTTCGTACGCACAACATCTGGTGGGGGCCATTTAAGGGCAGCGCAAAACTGTAAGACTAAATCTGCATATTGATTACCCCAGACGCAAGCAGCAAGAATGCTGGATGAATATCGGGTTGGAAAATCTGACAAGGGAGGGGTGCCTGATAAGTCTCGCGCAGGCGAAAGATTGTACCCCAATCGGAACTGGCGTCATGAGCGGCAGAGGAATTATACTTGTGATGCTCGTGAGTTTTTAACTGGGCATGCTGCTGGTTCAGATCGGCCAAGTATGCTAGGATACTCTTGGTTTGCCTGTATTGGTCACTGTGCTAAATATTGGCTTTGTTGACAAGTTCATCAACGACAGGATGATCGGTAAGACGAGCACGCACTGCGGCATGATCAGCCCACGAATTACCCATGGTGTCATCTTGGTCGAGACCAGGAGGTAGTGAGTCAAGATCTTGGTGGGAACGGACCTTACGGAGTAGGAACTGAGTCGGGGACCAACAGTCGGCAATGATCTGTAACAGGTCAGCATTGGCTGACTGATGCCAAGAGGGGAAAAATTCAGGCCTTGTAACTTGATGGATGACACCAATGGCATATTGGAAATCCGTGGTAATGACGATTTGTTGGGACCATTGATGAATGGATGCATGCTGGATAATCCAGGTAATGGCTGCAAGTTCAGCTCGAGCGATCGACTGCGCTCCTTGTACATGCTGGATTCTTATAGTCAAATAGGGGGCAGTCATGGATTCAGGTCGAAATTGGATTACGGACCATGCAGCCCGCCTAGTTTCACGTTGAAGCGGTGTATCAGCGGATCCATCGGTATAGAAAAAGAATGAAAAAGACCACATTATTGTCTAGGTGAATGGACGTGTAGTCAGTAGGCTGACCTCGACAAGCAACTAATTGGCGCAACATAGCCATGTCTGGAAACGAAACAGGCAGTGGCATCCACACCTTGTGTGGTTGTCTGGTTAAATATGTTATGGCCTGGGGGTGACGTCGCCGAATATGCAAAAATGCTGGACACTCCAACTGCTGGTGTGTGTGCGTGTATCCACTTGGCCGCAGAAGGAACAGCAAGAGTCAGCCGTAGATGTCCACAAGGCTTTAACGGCTCCGACCTGGTAACCCGCAGTAAGATTATATGCGACTCGGCGAATGGCTGTGCGAGACATAGATTTCCCGGGAAAGGATCATGAAGTCGAAAGGATGCAAAGGGACACCTTTGCGATGGCAAATTTGTCGATGCAGGTAATAGGCCCAGGCTTGTCGGAGAGTCTGACGAATTTGTTTTAAGGCATCGAACCGAAGCGAGACAGAGAGGTACCCATCGAGAGTTAAACGTCCATCCACACTGAGAGACCAACCAACAAGGTTAGCGGGCTAAAGCACCAGCAGGGCCAACTGCCGGGCCTGTGTGTTGGACAACCGCGTGCAGATATTCATGGGCCAGGGTAGGGTGGGTATGAAACAGTCTGCGCAAGAATGTCAGTGCGGTCGAAATCACATATAACAGTGGGTCCTGGAGTTGAGGACTAAACATATGCACGGCGAGCCAACTCGAGATTTGGGACTCCGGTCCAATTAATGCATTGGCCGCTTTGCCTGCGGCGGATTCGAAAGTGTTTTTCTCCTACAACTTGGGTCTCAGCTCCGAAGAAAGCATGTGGCCAAATGGCTGTTTGGATAAAACGAGCCTTCTGGGAGATATCTGTCTGAAACCATCGAATGCGTTTGCAGCGTTGGACTGCACTATTAATCTTGGTTTTAAGCTGACCGAGAGTGAATAGTGAGTCATACAGCCAAGATCTTTGGTCGAGTTGAGAATAGGGACTTGGTTGCGCTGGGGGAAATCATGATGTAGAAAATCTTTCCAGTCTTGACGTGCGTCAGCTGTTGCCCCCCAAGCCCACGATTTTGCGAAATCAATTTGCATGCGCAAAGCTTCGACCAGGTGTTGAATCTTATGAAATGCTTGGATGTTGTCACGTTGGCTGGCGGTAAGGTACGACCAGTTATCGGCGTATGCAAAAGGATGGACTCGAGGGGACTGAAGCGTCCAAAAAAAGGCTGACGATACCACTAGCATGGCGCAGACGGATAAGCTGTCTCCTTCGGGGGGCTCCGGTAGTCATAGTAATAGCTGGACCGACTGCATTACGAACCTGAAGACGTCGGGTCATGTTTCTGAGATTAACGAACCAAAATCGAATCGAGTCGGGTGGGGCCCCGTGGTGGATTAGAAGGTGATACAGAACTCTGCGCGGTAGGAGGTTGAAAGCTTTAATGAGATCTAATGTAAAACCTCGCCACGGCAGGGAGCGTTTCTTTGCCGACTCGATCTGAAATTGTTGCATAAATGTAATGTCTTGAACCCCGCGAAAAGGCAGTCCACCGGAGATGGCACTCGGCCACGTGGAGGCCCATTGACTGAGAAGTTGGTCAGCTATGAGTTTGGACGTTAGGCGACTTATGTATCCAAGGATAGTGATAGGACGCCCGTCCGTAATGGCGGTTGGAGGATTCCTTTTGGCCAAAAGAATAACTCTAGCGATTAACTGGTGTGCGGAGAGACCTTGAGGCCACAGTACATTAAAGGCTTGGGCCAAATCTAAAATTAATTGCTGATTCAGGAAGAGATTGGAGCTCTTCAGCTCTCCAGCCATCAATGCCAACGGCTTTGAAGGGTTTCAGCCGCCGTATCGTTTGGGCGAGAATCTGAGGGTTGTCCCATT